TGGTTATGGGAAGTTTGATGATGATATTTCTAGGTGATTCTATTTTGGTATCTACCCTGCTTGGGATCCATTCAACTTCTGTCTTTCATAATGTTAGGGAAGTTTTCCAGCAACAATTCTTTAACCTTTTCCACTGGGTTTTCTATCACCTCTTCCTTTTCTGGAATTCTGGTCATCTGTAAGTTGTTCCTATCCATCATGTCCCAAACAACTCTTAGGCTTACTTCTGAGTTTTGCATTCTTTTTTCTGATTGTTCCGCTAGCATAATAGAATTGAGAGATTAATCTTCAAGATCACTAATCTGTCCTCCCATGTCTTTGAATCTTCTCCTTTGTCCTTTCAATGTACTGTGCATTTCTGAAACCTTAGTATTACTCTTCTGGATTTCAAATTGCATGTCTTATATTGCTTCAAATTGTTGTCATCAGCCATGAACTTGGACCAACATTTTCATATTAATATTTGTCTCACCCTCATACATTCACTTAAGGTTTCTCTGTAACTCAGTGAATACTGTCAACTATATATACTGATAGAACCACCAATCACAGTCAAGATACAGAACATTTTCATTATCCCTAAATGATTATTCTTCCTGTTTGTAATCCTTCCTTCCTCTGGCACTTGTCCACCAAATTACTAATCTGCTTTTCACCACTATGTGTTACTTTGCCTTTACTAGAATTTTATGTAAATGAACTCATATGCTTTCTTTGGTGTTGATATTTTTTGCTGAGTATATGGTTTTGAGAATGATTTGTGGGTGAGTTATCTTTTATTGCTGGGTTGTTTTCCATTATATAGATACATTAAAGTTTATTTATTCACTCAATGGTGGTGAACAATTGCATTGTTTCCATATGGAGACATTTTGAATAAGCATTTTAGCAATATTTGTGTACAAGTCATTTTGCTGACATACGTTGTTTGTTTGTTTTTCCCCCTTTTCTTTTCATTTTTTTCTGACAAATGCATAGGTCTGGGATACCAAGCATTCATTGCTTTTCATTGATCCTGACTCATAATAACCCTATAGGGTTTCCAAGATTGTGAATCTTCATGAAAGCCAACGGTCACATCTTTCTCCCACTTATTAGCTGCTGGGTTCAAACTACTTAGCCCTGAGCACTTGAAACCACTATGACATCAGGCTTTCTTTTTAGTACTGAAATAGTGGGGATGACATGGTAGATTATGGCCTAATTTTTTAATTGTCATTTTGTATTTAGAGCAATTGAACCCTATTGCAAAAGTTTAACAAGTTTGGCTGGTCAAAACCACCAGCCTTTTCTTGCGATGGCAATTATCAACAACAGCATAGAAGTTTTAGATGTAAAAAGGAAAAGCATAGTCTCCTAGTGAATTTCATGTGGGGGTCTTTCAGAGGAACAAGGAAGTAGGAAAGGAGCCTGGGTGGTGGCTAAAGAGAAATAAACTCTATGCATACTGGAGAAAGTGTTTCAAATTATTTAATTATTATAAATTGTTCATCATTATCATTTTACAGAACATGGGGTGATGCTTTTAATTGCATTGTTTCTTAGTCACAGAAAGATAGAGAAAATGAAATCACTATATCATTCAGTTCTGGCATTCATTACGAAAGATTAAAAAAATAAAAAAGAAGAAGAAGAAGAAGAAGGGAAAAGAACTGGATTCTCAAGAGACTCAGCATGCTTTAAAAGAGCTATATATATGATTATAGGTAAGAGAGACTAGGAGCTGGTCATCAGCTGTGATTGCTACTCACAAACCAAAAAAACCTGTGGTGAGTTTTCCAATCATTAATAAGGAAAGAGGGAAATATTTTATGGAACCTCTGACAGAACCTTATGTTCTTCTAATTGAGTTTGTGAAAGCAAGACCAAAATTAATTTCCCTGAAAATGAGCAGATTAACAAGGTCCAAAGATCTAATTTATATAAATGTAATATGATAATAAGTCATTTAAGGAAAATCTTTTAGTGGAGACTTTTTAATATTTGATGTATCTATATAAGCATTCAGTAAAACAACTGTAAAACGTTTCTTCTAATAATTCCTGATAATGTCATCTGTAAATGGCAGAGCCTTGGGTGAAAGTGTCTTCTGTATAATTATGGCCTTTCCCAGTGCAACTGTGAGACTCTTATTAATATTTAGAGTTTTGTTTTGTTTTGTTTTAGATACAACAGAGCAGATGGAATTGGAAAGTCCAACTGTTTGGGACCCAGATACCAATCCTGTTACTTAAGTCCTCTGAGCCTCATTGTTCCTTCTAAAAATGGAGCTGAACTCCTAAAAGTGTTTGTGTGGATTGAATAAGATTTATTTAATGGTGATTCCTAACATGGTGTCTGTTTCATAAAATGAAGACTTAAAACGTTTAGTTTTGCTGTTTTTTCCTTGTTGGAAGATAATGTATTACTTATACAAATATACAGATTAAAATATTAGTGAACCAAATTAAAATTTAAATATGGAAAGCAATGATATTTATCATTTTAACAATTCAAGATAAAAGAGGACAAAAAAAAAAAAAAAAGGACATGGAAAGGAAGAAAATGTATTGGAAAAAAAAAAAAAAAAGGACATGGAAAGGAAGAAAATGTATTGGAAGCAACATAAGTGCTCTAATACAATTGCTGTAAATTTTCTTCCAGTTTCTCCTAGTTTCTATTAGTGAGAACTTGTGATAGAATTTGCTGGAGTTCAGAGGATTCTAGATAGAGTAATTTTATGCCACTTTTTCACAGAAAAAGACAAAAGACTTAAATTTGGAAGCCAGAACAAACATTTTGAGCATTTTATTTAATGTAACATCTATTTGTATTGTAAATCTAAAACCACTGGTTCATTTCAGACAGTAGGATAAAGAAATAGTCAAACCAAATGTCAGGCACATTCTTCAGGGAAGAGAAGTGTGGGTGGCAGACTAAGCCTGAAGAATCTGCACTCTCAAAATGATCAGGAATGTAGAACATTGTCTGTGTAGAATGTTAATGCCGTTGGAATTTGATGTTCCCTGAGACTATGGTCCTGTACCCCAATGCAAGTTACTCATTTCCTCAAGATATTTAGTAATGGCTAATAAGTTTTCATAAATCTGCCCCCTATATACTTACTATGGTCATGAATATATTTATCACCACTCTGGAGGTCTTGGATAGAGTGGGAGAAAAATCTGAAATGAAATTCAAAATCATTAAAATGCTAGATTTATTGGCCTGAAAGGAGAATGACAGAGCCAGAGATTACGGTCTTGAACACCTTTCAGGTCTGTAACTGAACTCCTCCCCATGGCCCAACTTTCAGTCAAATAATAAATAAGCCTGTAAGGTAAACAAGGAAATAAGCACTTGCCTTCCTTAGAACAATCAACTCTTCAAAATTAGAAGGGCAGCATTTGTATGGATTGTTGGATAGAAAACAATTTACACTGTAAACTTTCACCCAAATCAAATAAAATGTTTTTTAAAAATGATAACGAATGAGCAGGGAGTGTTGGCCTCAAGATTTAAGATTCTCCCAGTCATCATTTCTAAGGAGATGAATTACTATGATACCAAAAAATTATATGAGATCTGTCATGATTGACAAGAAAGCCCCCAACAGACTGTCATGCAACAGTTTTTGTAATTGTTGCTTAGAACTCACAGATGAAAAAAAAAATAAAAAATTAAGGAATATGAGGAATTCATTGTGAAGTGACTCATCAGCCCTCATAACTTAAAAGGAGCTCTCGTGGTGGAATATTAAGCACTTTGCTATTAACTGAAAGGTTCAAACCCACCAATTCCCCTAAGAAAAAGATGTAGAGATTACAGCCTTGGAAAGCCTAGGGGACAGTTTTACTGTGCCACATCTGGTCACTATTAGATTCTTAGTGTGATGCTATGGGCTAATAAGCTGGACTGCAAGATTGGTTAGCACAACAAGGTTGGTGATTCAAGCTCATCAGTCACTCCTTGGAAACCCTAGACAGGGTCCTTATAAGCTGGAACAATGCAACAGCAGTTAACAGCAGCAAAACTATAGGGTCATTATGGAGACCTTGTGTGGCGCTGTAGGATAATCACTGGTCTTCAAAGTCAGTTTGATCTGCAAGGTTGATATTCCAAACCCAAAAGCCACTCCTTGGAAACCCTATACAGGGTAACTATGACACTGAACTGAGTAGAGAGCATTTAAAAACAATTGTGTTACTATTAGCTCAAATTAACTAGAAGGCAATGAGTTTGGTTTTCAGTACCTTACTGAAGCTATCTTGATTTTTTTTTTCCCCCCAGAGCTCAATGTACTGGACAACGAACCAAATTTCTGCATTTTCAGAAATATGTATTTGTTCATTCCTTGTGAGATTTTCTTTTGATGTTGCAAATAAAGAGAAAAGAAGGTGAATGAAAGATTTATAAACAAAATTAATTTAGATATAAAAAATATTCCAAGAAATTATTCACTGAATCTTAAAGAGTATTTCCTTTGCAAAAGTGAGCTTTCTCTTCATTTCAATTAAATGTTCCTTGACGAAGATATTAATTGAAAGAACAATAATACTACATAATATGGCCTTTGGCTCCACAGTTACTGGGATTTACCCTAGGACAAAATTGTTTGGCAGGAAAGGTCTTTAGGAATTACCCTGTCCAACCAATCCATTTTTTAATTCCCAATTCTGTGTTTTCTGGTAAGGGTACTCCCCCCTCCTAAAATAGGGTTGTGTACTATATGGAAATACTCCTCATCCAATTTCAGATAAATGTATTCAATAACTGATTACAGCTTTTATTTTGTTTTACTTAAAACAAAGCAATAAGTTTTATTACTAGTAATTAAAGATGGAGGGGTTTTTGGTAAAGCAAATGTAAGTATTCTCCCATGACAGGACAGTTTTCAACTATAACAACTGGTTTACTAGTGTAGACTGTGAGCTACATGTTTGGATCCCAAACAACTAGGGAACCGCTGATACTCAAGAGGAACTTAATAAATAATTGCTTTAAGTAGCAATGATGGACAAATGAATGAAAATTATTTTTTAGTAGCTTTCTACCACATTTCCTACATTCTCTTTTCTTCCAGCTGTCTCAAAAATAATTTCCTCAAAATAATTATGGCAAATATAACCTCAATGAATGGATTTCTCCTCATGGGTTTTTCTGACATTCGTGAGCTACAGATTTTACATGCTTTGCTGTTTTTAGTGGTGTACCTGCTAACCTTAACAAGTAACCTCATCATTATCATCATCACCATAGTGGACCAGCGTCTCCAAGCCCCAATGTATTACTTCTTAAAACATCTTTCCCTCCTGGACCTCTCCTTCATCTCTGTCACGGTTCCCCAGTCCATTGACAATTCTCTGATGAATGATGGCTTTATTTCCCATGGTCAGTGCATACTCCAGGTTTTCTTCTTCTCATCTCTAGCTTGTTCTGAGTTGGCCATTCTCACAGTGATGTCTTATGACCGCTATGCAGCCATCTGCTTCCCACTGCACTATGAGGTCATCATAAATCCTAGTAAGTGTCAGTGGGCTGTGATAGCTGTATGGCTAAGTGGAAGCATCTCTGGAATCTTGTTCACAACAGCCACATTCTCCATCACATTCTGTAAGGCCAAAATAATCCACCAGTTCTTCTGTGACATCCCCCAGTTGCTGAAGCTCTCCTGTTCCAATGATTACCTTCGAGTGATTGGAGTGTCGACTTTCATGTCTGTACTGGCATTCATCTGCTTTACCTCCATTGTCCTCTCCTATATACACATCTTCTCCACAGTACTAAGAATACCCTCTGCTGAGGGCAGGTCCAAAGCCTTCTCTACCAGCCTGCCTCACCTCTTTGTTGTCTCATTTTATGTCTCCTTTGGTGCCTTTGAATTTCTAAAACCAACTTCAGATTCTCCAACTGTTTTTGACCTTTTGATTTCTATATTCTATACAGTCATTCCCCCAACCCTCAACCCTATTATCTACGGTCTGAGGAATGAAGTTATGAAGGAAGCTTGCAGAAAGTTATTGTTGGGTAGACAATTCACCAAGAAAACATCATACTTGTCCTATTGTTAATCGATGGATATACTATATACAAGAAAAATGTTAAATAATATTAAATCCCTTCAATATGTGGTATTAATGAAAGGCTATAACATTTACCTACTTATTAATTATACAATATAAATATCGTCATTCAGGAAACTCTTCACGTAATTCCTACACCTTTGCTAGATATTTAAACTATGTGTTCCTTAATTCAAATTAAGAGAAAATAAACAAGTACAATATTTTAATATAGGCACTCTACTCTCCACTCCTGATGTAGCCTAAGCACTGGATTGTTAATCACAGTTCAAACCTACCAGCTGCACAGTGGAAGAAAGATGAGATTTTCTGCTCCTGTAAAGGTTTACATCCTCAGAATCCTATACAAAATCTTACCACCAACAGCAACTCTCCTCTCTCTCACAATTCCTACAGGCATAGAAACAAGCATATAAACACCAACATCTGCAAGCAGACTTTTTCTCTCTCTCTAAATAGGCAATACTACAAAAAAAGAAGCAATAAAATAGTGACAATTCACCCACAATCCCACCAACTGAACTGATGAACTGTTTTACTTCATTTGTTTAATTTCAATTGTCGATCTTAATTCTTCTGTTTACACATATCAATTTTGCATATTGGTGCAAGAACTGTTGTGGTACAGTGATTGAGAACTTGGCAGTATGAACTCACTCTGAAGTTCTGCAGGAGTAAAGACCTGCTTCCATAAAGGTTCCAACTAAGAAAACCCAATGGGACAATTCTCCTCAGTCACATGGGTCCATATAAGTTGAGAAGAGATTCAACTGCAGCCAACAACAAGGAACAGATACTTTGTTTTACTTTCATAATGCACCTGGATACATAGCATTCAGTGGAATTCATCTCATTATGTAGTAAAACCTACCTGGAACTTGTGTGGATGGAAACCTGTCAGAGAAGGAAAACTCAGATATTAACCAATAAAACAAGCAAGGGGAAAATGGTAAGAACTGGGCTTTACCAAAGGGAGAAAACTTGCAAGACCTGGAAAACACAGGACAGCCTATTTGACTTCCTGCCCTCAGAAGTTTCACTGGATATTTAACTATTCACCTATTTTATAATATGGGTTATTTCCAATTTTTAAATCTTATAAACAATGCTACAATTGTAGTTCTGCTATTCATAATTCCAAAGAACAGGGTTTGATAAACCAAAGTACATAAAAAGTTCAAGTCTCTTGAACATAAATTGATTTCCAACAAGAGGAAACCATTTTATGTGGCCATTCGCTATATATAGCCCTCTTACTCCTCCATGTCTCACAGGATTTTAATTATTTACAGAAGAAGTGGTCACATTGAATATGTCAGGTGACTCAAACCATGCTAGGTGCCTGTATCACAAAAGTGCATCATATGTACACAGCACTGGGTATTTCAGAATTTTTATAAACTTTTTTTATTTTCACACTAGTAAAATTCTACTTTTTGTAATTTAAAAAAATTGATGACTCTAAATATCAAA